CCCACGTGACGCCAAGTCGCTCGCAACCACGTGACCCCAAGTTGCTCGCAACCACGTGACCCCAAGTTGCTCGCAACCCACGTGACCCCAAGTTGCCGGCAACCCACGTGACGCCAAGTTGCTCCTAACCCACGTGACGCCAAGTTGCTCGCAACCCACGTGACCCCAAGTTGCCGGCAACCCACGTGACGCTAAGTTGCTCGCAACCACGTGACCCGGCCGCTCAAGCCGCCGTGGAATGGATTGGAGAAAACAAGTATAACCCGTAAAAACAAAGTTTTTCACTCTAAATCCTTTATATGCGTGGCGGCTAGAGTCCTCTCGTCCTCTGGCTTGAGATGGCTGCCACCTATGGGTCAGATGATTTCCTGCCACCATTAAGCAATTGGTAATTAAATATAATTAAATTTTTCCTAAAAAGTGTAACATTTTGGAAAAAAATATTTCACGAACATCAATTGTCACGCACAAAGAGTCTGTGTGCAAAATGTCAGCTCGATTGGATCACGGGAAGTGGGTTAAAAAATGACCGAAAGATTTGCACGGTCCTAAGCAAGCAAGCGAACTTAATAAAGGATTTAAAAAAAATTAACCCGTAAAAACAAAGTTTTTCACTATAAATCCTTTATATGCGTGGCAGCTAGAGTCATCTCGTCCTCTGGCTTGAGATGGCTGCCACCTATGGGTCAGATGATTGTCTGCCAGCATTAAGCAATTGGTAATTAAATATTTAAAACAATTCCCTAAACAGTGTAACATTTTTAAATTTTTTTTTTCACGAACATTAATTGTCTCGCACAACGAGTCTGTGTGCAAAATGTCAGCTCGATTGGATCACGGGAAGTGGGTTAAAAAACGACAGAAAGATTTGCACGGTCCTAAGCAAGCAAGCGAACTTAATAAAGGATTAAAAAAAAAATAACCCGTAAAAACAAAGTTTTTCACTATAAATCCTTTATATGCGTGTTCAATGGGCCACAACCTAGCCCACATTGGTCTTTGAAACGGGCGGCTCGAGTCCTCTCGTCCTCTGGCTTGAGATGGCTGCCACCTATGGGTCAGATGATTGTCTGCCACCATTAAGCAATTGGTAATTAAATATAATATTTTTGTCCTAAAAAGTGTAAAATTTTGGAAAAAAAATTTCACGAACATTACCTGGGATTGTTGTTGTTGTTGTTTTTGTGTGGTCTAAGATTGTTGTTGTTTTTGTGTGGTTTGGGACTGTTGTTGTTGTTTTGGTGTGGTCTGGGATTGTTGTTGTTGTGGTCTGGGATTGTTGTTGTTGTTGTTGTTTTGGTGTGGTCTGGAACTGTTGTTGTTGTTTTGGTGTGGTCTGGGATTGTTGTTGTTGTTTTGGTGTGGTCTGGGATTGTTGTTGTTGTGGTCTGGGATTGTTGTTGTTGTTGTTTTTGTGTGGTCTGGGATTGTTGTTGTTTTGGTGTGGTTTGGGACTGTTGTTGTTGTTTTGGTGTGGTCTGGGATTGTTGTTGTTGTGGTCTGGGATTGTTGTTGTTGTTGTTTTTGTGTGGTCTGGGATTGTTGTTATTGTGGTGTGGTTTGGGACTGTTGTTGTTGTTTTGGTGTGGTCTGGGATTGTTGTTGTTGTGGTCTGGGATTGTTGTTGTTGTTGTGGTCTGGAACTGTTGTTGTTGTTGCCTTGCCCCGGGCTTGCATTTGCCGTTGACAGCACCAGCGGGCACTGATGCTCGTGTACCATGTTGCACTTTGCCTCCGTACGACTTTGGCACGTGGCCATTCATCTCGCTTCCCCTTCTCACCGTCTCGCTCTCACCACATCGCCCCGTGTGTCGTGGTTCCGATGTACCTCGCTGATCACACGGCTCCCATGCTGGATCGGACATCCGCGACCAAAGAGCTTAGTAGCTTATCGGATTCTTCCTCCAAAATGAACAAAATATTTCGATGAAAACAATACGGATTTCTCAGCAGCGGTGGTGGCGGTGACGATTGTTGTTGGTAGGGGTGGTAGTGGTAGTGGTGGTAGTGGTAGTCGTGGTGGTGTTGGTGCAGTTGTTGTGGTGGTTGTAGTGGTGGTGGTGCTGGTGCAGTGATGGTGGTAGTGGTGATGGTGTTGGTTGTGCCGGTGCAGTGATAGTGGTGGTAGTGGTGGTGATGATGATGGTGGTGGTGGTAGTAGTGGTGGCGATGGTGGTGGTGGTATCGGTGGTGGTGGTAGTGGTGGTGATGATGACGGTGGTGGTGGTAGTAGTGGTGGCGATGGTGGTGGTATTGGTGGCGGTGGTGGTGGTGGCGGTAGTGGCGATGGTGATGATGTTGGTGGTGGTTGTGGTGGTGGCGATGGTGATGATGACGGTGGTGGTAGTGGCGATGGTGATGATGACGGTGGTGGTAGTGGCGATGGTGATGATGACGGTGGTGGTAGTGGCGATGGTGATGATGACGGTGGTGGTAGTGGCGATGGTGATGATGACGGTGGTGGTAGTGGTGGTGGCGATGGTGGTGGTTGTGGCGGTGGTTGTGGCAGTCGTGGTGATGGTGCTGGTGGTGCTGGTGCAGTGATGGTGGTGGCGGTGGTGGTTGTAGTGGTGGTGTTGGTGGTGCTGGTGCAGTGATGGTGGTAGTGGTGGTGGTTGTAGTGGTGGTGTTGGTGGTGCTGGTGCAGTGATGGTGGTAGTGGTGGTGGTAGTGGTGGTGTTGGTGGTGCTGGTGCAGTGATGGTGGTAGTGGTGGTGGTTGTAGTGGTGGTGTTGGTGGTGCTGGTGCAGTGATGGTGGTAGTGGTGGTAGTGGTGGTGATGGTGTTGGTGGTGCTGGTGCAGTGATGGTGGTAGTGGTGGTGGTTGTAGTGGTGGTGATGGTGTTGGTGGGGTTGACGCAGTGATGGTGGTAGTGGTGGTGGTTGTAGTGGTGGTGTTGGTGGTGCTGGTGCAGTGATGGTGGTAGTGGTAGTGGTGGTTGTAGTGGTGGTGTTGGTGGTGCTGGTGCAGTGATGGTGGTAGTGGTAGTGGTGGTGATGATGACGGTGGTAGTGGTGGAAGTGGTGGCGATGGTGGTAGTTGTGGCGGTGGTAGTGGCGATGGTGGTGGTGGCAGTGATGATGACGGTGGTGGTAGTAGTGGTGGCGATGGTGGTGGTGGTGGTGGCGATGGTGGTGGTGGTGGTTGCTATGTATAGTGATGTGCGTGTGTCACCCTTCCCACCACGAGCACATTTACGTCACTTCAACCATTCACGGGTCACTCTCTCTGTGTGTGTGCCTCCTTTTCTTAAATAACTCACAAAAATAGCTTCTGTAACAAGAGCGATAATAACGACTTTACACCTTTTATTTTGCCTTTTTAGTGTCCCGTTTCTTTCCGTCCATCTTCCCCCCCCCCCCAACGTCTTTGTTATGTTAAAAAATAGTGGTTTTGGGGGGGTGGGGTTGGGGGTGGTGGTGCAGGCGGTCACAATCTTCAGTCTCGCCAAGGTATTTACCGGCACGCTCACAACCAATGTGGGGGGGAGGGGTGGTGGAAATGGGGATGGGGGGAAGGGGGGCGAGCAATTAGGGGTGGGGGGGGAGTTCAGTCGGTGATTGCGTAATCACCCCTCCCATTACCCCCCCTCCCCCCCACTTCACCATCGCTCCGTGTCGCTCTCTCTCCCCGGGAGACAATCGTCGGCCATGCGCCAGACGCGCGCACACGTTATGACGCACGCACGTGACGAGGCGCGCGCACGTGACGACACGAGCACGTGACGACACGCGCACACGTGACGACACGCGCACACGTGACGACGCACGTGGACGTAACGACACGCGCACGTTATGACGCACGCAACACGTGACGACGCACACGCACGTGACGACACGCGTGCACGTGACGACATGAGCACGTGACGACACGCACACGTTATGACGCACGCAACACGTGACGACACGCGCAACACGTGACGACACACGCACACGTGACGACGCGCACGTTATGACGCACGCAACACGTGACGACACGCGCAACACGTGACGACGCGCGCACGTTATGACGCACGCACACGTGACGACACGCGCAACACGTGACGACGCGCGCACGTTATGACGCACGCACACGTGACGACGCACGTGCACGTGACGACGCACGTGGACGTAACGACACGCGCACGTGACGACACACGTGACGACACACGTGACGACACGCAACACATGACGACGCGCCTCCATGCTCCCGAGGCTCGACTCGCGCGGCGCGCGTGACGACTCTGGCAGGCCGCGTGCTCACTCGCTCCGTGCGCTCGGGGCGCGGCAGGACCCCCAGCGGAAGATGCAGACCGCCCCAAGCGGCCCAACAGGCCATTGTCCAGGCCCCCCACCCCCCCCCCCCCAACCACCCCCCCCGGCTACCACGTGCTCCCCTCTCTTGCCAACCAACGACCGATGAAAATATATTCCGTGTTCCCGGCGCCCACCTCTTGCCGGGAGTCGAGCGCCACCTCTGCCTCCGGACTGTTGTTGTTCCGGCAGGGGTGGAGGCCCTTCGTCGAGTTTTCGACCGAAGCCCGCGTGGAAAAATAATAATAATGATGATGATGATCTGTCGATAACAAACCACCTGGGGGAGCGGCCGTTTAGAGTCCAGGATTCTTACGACGGCGTGAAGGAGTTGATCTCTCTCTCTCTTTCTCTCGAGGTGAACTTCGGGGGGTAGGGTGAGATATTGTTACTCTTAGGTTTTCTCGGTAAAAGTCACGTAGGTAAAAAATAAAATTAAAATCAACAAAAGTCAAATAAAAAAATCACGACGTGATTTGACTTCACCGAAAAAAAGAGTATGAATCCTTGCGGTCACGAAAGCTTCAAATCTAGAATGAGATTTCGATTTAAAGCTTTCGTGACTGCAGGGATTCATCTTCTTGGTTCTTTCGGTAAAGTCACGTAGAAGGGAAGTAATAAAATAATAAAAATAAAACATATTATTTTATTACTTCCCTTCTACGTGACTTTACCGAAAGAACCAAGAACTAGAATGAGATGTTGTTGTTACCGTGAAGAATCGTCGTGAGATGGACATTCGTGACTCAGCAGCGACCCGGGGGGGTGGACGTGAAGTCGGGTTTATCCCAAGCGTCTGGTCGCCAGGGGACAATGAATCCCGACTCACCCACCAACCCACCCACACCCCAATCCCAATTCGCGCGGAAGTGGATACCCCAGAACTACTTTCGAGTCGCCTCCGCGCTCCATGCAGCAGGTGGGGGGTTGGTGTGTGGGGTATGGGAGGGGTGTGGGAGGGGGGTTGGTGGGAGGGGTGTGTGTGTGTGTTGGGGGGGCACGGCACACAAACTTAAAAGTGTCCCTGACGACCCCAGAGTCAGGTGAAGGCGGCGATGTCGAGCTACCGCTCGCCGTAGGCCAGGGTCAATCCGCTGCTGGATCGGAGCCTCTTCTGAGAGCAGAAGAGGCTCCGTGACGCGTGGGGGGCCACGTTTGCCGCTCCGTCTTCGCCTGGGGGGGCGGGTGGTGAGCGCTGGGGGCGGCGTCACGATCCATTCCTCTGGCGCCCCTCCACAACTTTTCCAGTCGGCCATCGAATATCGGCCACGCGTCCATGCCGGGCACGACGTGTCCTGCCCAAAGCCCCGCTCACCCGCTCACCCATCCACTAACTCACCCGCTCACCCAGTCTCTCACTCACCCGCTCACCCAGTCTCTCACTCACCCGCTCACCCAATCTCTCACTCACCCATCCTCTCAATCACCAAATCACCCACTCGCCTGCTCACCCAATCTCTCACTCACCCATCCTCTCGATCACCAAATCACCCACTCACCCACTCACCCATCCACTAACTCACCCACTCACCCAGTCTCTCACTTACCCAAGCTCGATCACCCACTCACCCACTTGCTCACTCACTCATCCAATCACCTACTCACCCAATCTCTAACTCAGCCAATCACCCACTCACCTGCTAACCCAATCTCTCACTCACCCATCCTCTCGATCACCAAATCACCCACTCGCTCACTCATCCAATCACCCACTCACCCATCCTCTTGATCACCCAATCACCCACTCACCCGCTCACCCAATCTCTCACTCACCCATCGTCTCAATCACCCAATCACACACTCGCTCACTCATCCAATCACCCACTCACCCGCTCACCCAATCTCTCACTCACCCACTCACCCGCTCACCCACTCACCCACTCACCCGCTCACCCGCTCACCCACTCACCCACTCACCCACTCACCCGCTGACCCAATCCCTCACTCACCCAACCTCTGGATCACCCAATCACCCACTCGCTCACCCAATCACCCACCCACCCAAATTACATTTTCTCCTCTGCTCCGTTACCACCACCGCCGCAGCTACTCCCATCCAAAGTCCTCCCCCACCATCTGGTAGAACTTGAGGTTGAACGGTCGGTAGAAGTCGCGCAGGCGCACGAGGACGCGCGCGTCAACGCGCGGGTGCGTGCGTCCCTTGGTCTTGCCTAGGCAGTGAGGCCTACCGCTGCCCTCGGCCTTCTTGAGGCACGGGAAGCCCTTGGTGGCGTTGAAGTAGAAGTGCTTGTCCGTGACGATCGTCTTGAGGCCCAGGAACCGCTGTGCGCGCCCGACCTCGCCCGCCGGGTCCGACACGAGCCTCTCCCCGCTCACGAACAGCATCCGCTCGCGAGGGAAAGCCCTGAGCCACCTCGCCAGGTGGTCCGCGTAGAGCCCGATGCGCAGGGCGCTCCACTGCGGTTCGACGAGTCCCGACGAGCGGTTCCGGAAGGCGAGCGCCTCGAAGGAGGCGGTGCCCAGCGGGCGCTTGGAGAGCGTCTGGGTGTAGTCGGAGATGGCGCGGGTCACGGGGTCGCGCACCACCACGATGAGTCGCGTGCGCCCGCCATCCATCGCGCGGATTCGCTCGGGGGCCTCCTTCGTGATGAAATAGCTGGGCGTTTTCTCCATCGTGATCTGGCCGTCCAGCGTCAGCGGCATGAGGCCCCTGCGTTCGGTGGGAGAGGGGTTGAGAGATAGGGGAAAGCGAGCGATGGGACATATTTGAGAGGAATTGGCGGCCGCTGTGTGGACGTGTGGGAGGACATCCCCCCCACACACTCCGAACGAGTCTTGGGGCGCGGTGAGACTTTGCACGATGAACGAGCTCATGCAACAACGACAACAACAACACATTTGATACGTGTAGAGAAAATTAAACATTGGTTATTGCAAACTTAATTTGGAGCTTTCGTGACTGCAGGAATTATTCTTTGGTTCTTTCGGTAAAGTCACGTATAAAGATAAAATAATAAATTAAATACTAGCATACGACGTGTCTGCTTATATGTCTGTCTATATGTCTCTGGTTCTGTGTTTGATCTCTCTCAAATTTTAGCATTCTCAGGAAGAACGTAATCAACCAGGTAGGGTGTTGACTGTTATGTTATCCGACTCTCTGTTGTAGTAGTGTATAGTGTAGTGTATAGTGTAGTGTGTAGTGTATAGTGTAGTGTGTAGTGTAGTAGTGTATAGTGTAGTGTATAGTGTAGTGTGTAGTAGTGTATAGGTAGGGTGTTGACTTTTATGTTATCCGACTCTCTGTTGTAGTAGTGTATAGTGTAGTGTATAGTGTAGTGTATAGTGTAGTGTATAGTGTAGTGTATAGTGTAGTGTGTAGTGTATAGTGTAGTGTATAGTGTAGTGTGTAGTGTATAGTGTAGTGTAGTGTGTAGTGTATAGTGTAGTGTGTAGTGTAGTAGTGTATAGTGTAGTGTATAGTGTAGTGTGTAGTGTAGTGTAGTAGTGTATAGTGTAGTGTATAGTGTAGTGTGTAGTAGTGTATAGGTAGGGTGTTGACTGTTATGTTATCCGACTCTCTGTTGTATTACATTACATTTCTAAGTATACTAGATTTGTGTTTCTATTCAATTTATACCTGATGATGATTGCTTGTGTTGCAATCGAAACGTCGTGTGCTAGTATTTAATTTAATTTATGATTTTATCCTTATACGTGACTTTACCGAAAGAACCAGATGCGCCCATCGTCACGGCAAATTAAGTCCACCCTTCTCCTTTAGGGGCCGTCCATAAATGACGTCACGCGATTTTGGACGTGTTTTGACCCCCCCCCCCCCCCCCCCCATCGTCACACGGCGTCACAAAAATCAGACCCCCCCCCCTTAAATATGACGTCACAAAGCTCTGCCCCCCCCCCCCCCAAATAAAAAAACATGCTTCAAATCGCTTTAAACTATTGTCATTGTAGTGCGTATTTAATGTGGCGCTGCACTCTGATGTTGTAGGAGAAAACATTTATTAAAAAGTCGAGGAGGCATCACGGTTGCTTCACGACGTGAAGATTAACTGGCGATTAACGGGTTGAATGCGCTTGGCTTTTAATGACGTTACCTTTCATCTCCGCTTACGACCCATTAGCCCGCTTGCTTATTCTGTCAATGTTTGTTGCGACCCTGGGGATGGTGCTGGGTTTGGGGAGAGGTGGCACCCACACCTTACGGAGACATCTCAAGAGCAGCTACATCACGACTAAACTATGATTTTATTTCTAGACTTTGAAGCTTTCGTGACTGCAAGGATTCATATTCTTCGGTTTTTTTCGGTAAAGTCACGTAGGTAAAAAATTAAAATTAATAAAAGTAAAATAAAAATAAAATAAAAATCACGACGTTTCGGAGGCAACACAAGCTTCCGTCTTCAGGTGGAACCGTCACAGCACGATAGCTGTATCAAGTGAGAGAAATTCCAAGAACACAGTCCTTGTATATATACTGGTTGAGGGTGGGAGGAGGCAAGGGAGGCCCTGAATATTATTTTTGTGAGGTTCGGTGCGGCTGAAGCACGCTGTTAGGAATGAGCCTTTGTTGTGTAAACTAGGTGCGGATGATGTAAATGTGCGTGTATTTCTCTCACTTGATGCAGCTATCGTGCTGTGACGGTTCCACCTGAAGACGGAAGCTTGTGTTGCCTCCGAAACGTCGTGATTTTTATTTTATTTTTATTTTACTTTTATTAATATAAATGTTTTACCTACGTGACTTTATCGAAAAAACCTAAGAATATGAATCCTTGCAGTCACGAAAGCTTCAAATCTAGAATCAGTATTTTATTGTTTACCAGGTAAAGGCCCCACCGATGTTCTTTTTGTTCAGAAGCCACGTGGCCATCCCAAATGAGAGCTCAACTGGAGTGGCACGATCATCGTCGCCGTCGTGTGGACATTGATGGTTTGGTGCAGCGGCTGCGGTTTTATTAGAAGGGCGGACCGCGTGCAGCTCACGTGGAGAAGTCAAACAAAGACCCTCAGGGAGGCTTCTGCGCCCGAGTCTTGGATCACGACGTTGTAAGGGGCAGCCACCACCAGGTCATCTACAGCGCTCGCAGGCGCGGGGGGCAATTAGAGACGCGAGCTCTGTATTTTAAACTCTCTCCTATCTCTCTCTTATTTTTCTCTCTTTTTTTTACGATCAGACGAAACAAGAAGATGCTCGGTGTAGTCGGCACTTTGCTTCGTTCATCATTTCGTTTTTTTTTCAATGCTTTGCTTTATGTGCCCCCTCCCCTGTTTAATAGAAAGATTTCACGAAATATTTCACGCTCTGCTCTCGTTCTTACCCCTCTCTCTCTACCCCCCTCTCTCTCTACCCCCCCCCTCTCTCTCCCCCCCTCTCTCTCTACCCCCCCCTCTCTCTCTACCCCCCCCTCTCTCTCTACCCCCTCTCTCTACCCCCCTCTCTCTCTCTCTACCCCCTCTCTCTACCCCCTCTCTCTCTCTACCCCCCCCCTCTCTACCCCCTCTCTCTCTACCCCCTCTCTCTCTACCCCCTCTCTCTCTACCCTCCCCCTCTCTCTACCCCCCTCCCCTCTCTACCCCCCCCTCTCTCTCTACCCCCCCTCTCTCTCTACCCCTCTCTCTACCCCCCTCTCTCTCTACCCCCCCTCTCTCTCTCTACCCCCTCTCTCTACCCACCTCTCTCTCTACCCCCTCTCTCCCTACTCTCCCCTCTCTCTCCCCCCCTCTCTATCAATCTCTCCATTGCAACAAAAACCCCATCACCTCTGTCCGGCGCTACGTGACATAATTCATTCATACAGAGATTGTTATTTGTCCGTAATCATGTATTTTTTAAGGAGGGGAGGGAGGTGGTGAGATCGCGTAAATTTAAATGCGCGTCGTTAAAACCACCAGCCGACACAGCCAATTATTTGAGGTTTGTTACGTGAACAAATCGTGCCAAGGATGTCCCATGATGTTTCCCAAACGAGTTCATCCTCCAGCACCTACGGGCCGCGTGTTGGGAGAGAGATTAAAGCCACAACAATTACGAATTCGAGTACTGAGAAAAGCTGCTGCTGATGCTGATGACGATCGCTTGTGTTGTGATCGAAACGTCGTTGTTTTTTTATTTTGTTATTTTCTTTCAAACTATCTACGTGACTTTACCGACAGACGCAAAGAATATGGATGTTTTGTTGTTTTTCCCCTTTTTTCTGGCAACAAAACTGGAACCTTTTCACGAGGATTCATGTTTCGATTTAAAGCTTTCGTGACTGCAGGGATTCATCTTCTTGGTTCTTTCGGTAAAGTCACGTAGAAGGGAAGTAATAAAATAATAAAAATAAAACATAATAAAATAATTCTCACGACGTTTCGGCTACTTGCGTTGTGGCCAAAACGTCGTGAGAATTATTTTATAATGTTTTATTTTTATTATTTTATTACTTCCCTTCTACGTGACTTTACCGAAAGAACCAAGAAGAAGAATTCATGTCTGCATTAATCACAATACTTCCAATCAAACTGCCAACCAAAAAAAACACACTTTGATAATTTTCACTGCAAGTATTGTGACTAATTTAGACATGAATCCTCGTAAAAAGGTTTCAGTTTTGTTGCCAGAAAAAAGGGGAAAAACCCCCTATTATTATATTTTGGTACTGGCAAAGGAGGTCTAATGATGTTGTTGTTGTTGTTGTTGTAAGGGCACTGTGTTATTGTCCTACTAACGAGCTGCGTTGTTGTTGTTGTTAAACACTCATCGTCAAATTGGACGACAACACCTTCCTATAATAGAGGATGGCAGAGCTTGGGGGAGGGAATTGTTCGTGGCAGCGACTCCTCGCCAACCACCCGCGGAGCCTGCCGAGCGACTTCCCATCATCATCATCATCTCAACACATTTGAAAGGGACACCTTCTCCACGTGCTCCACAAGTGTAGCTTAGCCTAGGGCACCCCCAGTGGCAGCTGCCCCTGTTCGACACGAGGGTGACTCGATCAGCATCGCCGCCGCCACCACCGCCACAATCGTCACTGGCCCACTGCCTTCTGCGCTGACGAACACGTCACGTTGTAACCTCACCCCTGAGTCAATAATCACACAATATTTCGATGTAAAGCTTCTTTCGTGACTGCGGGGATTCATCTTCTTGGTTCTTTCAGTAAAGTCATGTAGAATGGAAATAATAAAATAATAAAAATAAAACATAAAATAATTAAATTTCGATTTAAAGCTTTCGTGACTGCAGGGATTCATCTTCTTGGTTATTTCAGTAAAGTCATGTAGAAGGGAAGTACTAAAATAATAAAAAATAAAACATTAGAAAATATTCAGACTCTGTCTCCTTGACAAACCTGTTCTTCACCTGAGGACGGCTGCTTGCGTTGTGGCCGAAACGTCGTGAGAATAATTTTATTATGTTTTATTTTTATTATTTTATTATTTCCATTCTACGTGACTTTACCGAAAGAACCAAGAAGATGAATCACACAATAGGCAGCATTTATCTATCTGTTCCGCCCCTACATCATCATCATCATCATCCTTGCAGCTACAGCAGCAGTAGCCGCGGCTTTTGGCTGCTCAGCCACCGAACAAAAGCGGTGGGGTCATCGCGTCGAGCGGCGCTTTCAGATGCGCGACTGCGGCCGTCTGGAACGCTCTTCCACTGCCGTTGATCCTCCCGGCGTCGTTTTATCATCATTATTCATTCGGACTAAGGTGAGCTATGTGACGAGCGGGCGAGCAGGATAGTAGGTTTCGTTTGGACCTTTAAAACTAGAAGAAAAAAAAATATCAAATATTTTTATAGGGATATGGGTGGAAAAAACCCGATTTTTCCAGCGGCAGGCATCGGGTTTTTTCTTGAATACAATTAAACCCGATTTGGGGGAATTAAAACCTGGTTTAATGAATTACGAAACTCTGATGCAAGGCTTCGGCTGCTTCCTCGTCGGTGCTGCTGTCATACTCTGGGGGCTGTGGGGCACGGGGTAGTCGTAGAATTATAGATTTGAAGCTTTCGTGACTGCAAGGATTCATACTCTTAGTTTTTTTTCGGTCAAGTCACGTAGGTAAAAATAAAAATATTAATAAAAATAATAATAGAAATAAAATAATAAATCACGACGTTTCGGAGGCAACACAAGCTTCCTTCATCAGGTGTAAATAAGTATAACCCGTAAAAACAAAGTTTTTCACTATAAATCCTTTATATGCGTGGCGGCTAGAGTCCTCTCGTCCTCTGGCTTGAGATGGCTGCCACCTATGGGTCAGATGATTGTCTGCCAGTATTAAACAATTGGTAGTTAAATATTTAATTTGTTTTCCCTAAACAGTGTAAAATTTTGGAAAAAAAATTTCACGAACATTAATTGTCACGCACAACGAGTCTGTGTGCAAAATGTCAGCTCGATTGGATCACAGGAAGTGGGTTAAAAAACGACCGAAAGGTTTGCACGGTCGTAAGCAAGCAAGCAAGCACGCAAGCACGCAAGCGAACTTAATATAAAGGATTTTAAAAAGTCGTAGCATGCGGCGGGCAGGTTGGTCGTGATGAACACGAGCTTCTCCTCCACAATCGTGGTGAACCGCCAGTGAGTGCCTGAGCTTGGAACGGATGAAGCCCATCATCGCTGAGAAGTGCGGTTCTGCAATTAGAACCAATTCAACCGCATTTCTCTCAATCTCAGATGATCGGTGTTTAATATCAAAAGACAATTAAACCCGATTGTAAAAAAGAACCCGACTGTGCCACCCTTGGCAGGTGATGACCACTGAGATGCGTAGCTCCGTCTCAGAAGCGACGTGGCCATCACGAACGAGAGCTCGAACGGAGTGGTGACTCATCATCATTATCATCATCACGTGGACATTTATAGCAGCGGGCATATAACTCTAAACGCGTGACGTTGAGTCTAAATGCTGGGCCCCAAAGTGAGAGGGCCAGGAGGTATGCAGTCAACAATGTTTGACTCAGGGAGGAGGACACCCCTGCCATGCATAGTCCGATGGGATGTTGGCTATCAACAACAAGGCAACTCCTATGACTAATTGGGAATGGGACGCAAGCGTAGGATTGCTCACCCTGTCGCTGACCGCCTTTGGGGAGGGTGTAT